AAACATCAGTCCAGTACTTTTGTTTTTTGCTGAGGAAGATCAGCCCTGAGCTAACATCTGTGCCAGTCTTCCTCTATTTTGTATGTGGGTCACTGCCACAGCATGGCTGATGAGTGGTGTAGGTCCGCGCCTGGGAACTGAACCTGGGCCACCGAAGTGGAGGGCACCGAACTTAACCACCAGGCCACTTGGCCGGCCCCAGTCCAGTACCTTTAGCTATGGCAAAGACAATTGTCTTAAGGAAAATGGCCTATGTTTTGGTGCAGTGTTTGATGTTCAAAACAAAATGTTACAACAATAAACAAATGAAACTGGGGGGTAAAAAAAGGTAGCTGTCGTGGGTTGAGTGGTAGTCCCCAAAAGATGTGTCCACATCCTAAACCTCAGAATCTGGGGATGTGAGCTCATTTGGGGGAAAAAAAATCTTTCTATGTAATTGAGGTAAGGATATAATCAAGGTAAGGATCTTGAGACAGATCATTCTGGATTATCCAGGTGGGCCCTCAATCCAATGACAAACATCTTTATGAGAGATAGAATAGAATAGACACCTTCTATCTCTTATAAAGAAGAGGAGGAAGCCACGTGGAGATGGAGGCAGGGATTGGAGTGATGTGGCCACAAACCAAGGACAGCCAGGAGCCCCCAGAAACTGGAAGCAGCAAGGCAGGCTCCTCCCCTGGACCCTTCAGAGGGAGTGTGGCCCTGCCGACACCTTGACTTCTGACTTCTGGCTTCAAGAAGAACTGTGAGAGAATACAGTGCTATTGTTTTAAGCCACCCACTGTGTGGTACGTTGTTATAGCAGCCACAGGAAATAATACATAGCTGTGATGTTAACTGACTCTTGGTTGTCAGTCCAAGTGTGAGGCCCCAAAACTACTTCATATTCAAATGGAGAATAATAAAAAAATCATTTTTATAACGGTTGCCGATGCATTATCCTTTTTTAAAAAACACCGGTTAAAAAAACACACCCTACTTGCTTTCATCTCAAATATTATAAACTCTTCCACAATACTTTCGTGTGCACAGGTGCGTGGCTGGTTGTCAGTGTCACCATGCTGTCATCATGATCACCAGCCATGCAGCAATCCTACAGCACCTGAGTACTTACAAACCTCCCTTGTACACTTCCTAGACTTGTTCAGGAAAAATCCACACCTGGGATTTGTCATCTTTAGCCTGGGCCCAATCCTTGGACTCTGCTGAAGACTTCTCCATTTTCTTAAGTGATGTGAGGTTCCAGTCATATTCTATGCTGCCGGCTTCAATTGACTGACTATCAATTTTCACTTCGTAAGTGAGATCTGGTCGTAAAATCAGAGTGTAGAGGTGTGTAAAGCCATCAACCTGCACGTTTTAGGGGGAGAGAAGGGTAACAGTGAGACCCTTGACGTTTCAAGGCAGTCCAAACATGCAGTTTAATTCGCCATGGGTCAAAGCCTTGTTATGAACAGCAAGAAGAGAGGTTGTAGGGATACGGCCTGACTCAGCTCTAGAAGGGGTCCTGCAGAAGAAGCACCCCTTTGCAGAATACTTCCTCACTACTAGCACTCTCTCTTGAGTGCCTGATTCCCTTTGTACAAAGACAATGCTCCCAACAGTAATCCCACAGGCAAGATGACGAGGTGGGCAGTATAAACCAAGGAACCACCACGCTGTCTGATTCATGAAAACTGATGTGGGAAACAACTCCCTGTTCTGTATTCTGAATGATACCAAATGAAGCCCACTCTCAAATACATCTAGTTCTCCGTACAGGGGAGGACTTCCTGTGATTTGAGCTGTCCAAAAATTTAAGCTCTGAGAGGGCAGGCCCGGTGCCTCTCTTGGTCAAGATCAAAGCCCCAGGCCAGACACAAGGAAAGCACTGAACAAACACTCAATAAAGGAGGGATGGAAGGTGGGTGGGCGGGTGCCTGGGGAGGCTGGGGGAGCCCAGGACGTGCCTGCCTGTCAGCAGCGGAGGGGACTCCTGCACCATACTCCAGCGGTGGTTCTCAAAGTGTGGCCCTGCAGCATCAGCATCACTGGGCATACATGGGAAATGCCCGTTCCCAGGTCAGCCCCAACCTGCTGAATTGGAACCCAGGTGGGCCCTCCAGCTGCTTTCACAGGCCCTCTGGGGACTCTGACGCTGCTCAGGTCTGGGAACCACTGCCCCACCATCTTAAAGGCTCTGTCAGGGGGATTTTCTCCCTGCTAAGAGCCAAAGGTAAATGCCTCTTCAGTACCCCTCTGCTCTGCCCGAAGGGACAGGCCGCTGCTGTCCACTCTACGGCCGACGGCCCTGTCTGGGATCAACACTACAGTCTACTCTAGGTCCCCCTCGGCCTCTCCAGCCTGCTGTGACAGCCAAGTACAACTTCTCCCCACAGTCATCCCCTGCTCTTTGCCAGCCTTCCTCTTGCCCCGCCTTTCCGAAGCTAGACTTTGGGCTCGCTGGCCCGACTGTTGGCATCCTCTAGGATTTGGTCACCAATGGGGAGTCTCCTGAGGGATAACATCCACTCCCCTACATATGCAAACGGCTCCAAACCAGCATCTTGAAGCCCAACCATTGGCCTGAGCTTCAGATCCGAGTTTCCAACAACTTACTGGACACCTCTACCTGGATGTCTGCCAGGATTTCACAACCAACGTTTCCAAACACAACTTGATAGTCTGCCCCGGCCTCCTCATTGGCCTTTGTTTCCCCTGCTGATTAGCAGCAACGCTGGTGAGAGTCATCGTCCACATCCTCAGTACCCACATTCCAGTATAACTAAGTGATATTTGGGTCCCATCCCTGAACTGTCTGTCAAAATGCTCCCATGTTCTGCATCCCACCGAAGCCTTGGCCTAACAACCTCACCCGTCTCCTTGCCTGTCCATCACCCTGTCCCTCCACCCACCCACCTCAGAACATCCCAGGTATTTTTCTAACATGCAGATCCGTCCCCTCCTTGAAAGCCCCTGAGGGTTGACCTCTGCCTACAGGGGATTTCCTCCACCTTTCCTTTACAGCGTCACAGAATGAACCAGAGCCCCCGTGAAGACAACTGTGTTCCTCACCGGGAAGAGCATAACGCCGACTAGCTGCTGGGAATCAGTGCTCCTTCAGCAGATGTATCTTTTATTTTTCTAACAGAAATAGCAGCACACGCCTGAGGGCATCATCAGCCTGCAGGAGCCGCTCAGGGCTCCTGGACTCGCTGACTCCAGGTGGTCATGCTGTGGCTCCCTGGCAGGACCCCGCGGCCTCCATAGTCTCATCCCTGCTCTCTCCCACCCACCTGAGGCGCAACTGAACAATTGCTCCAAGTCAAGCATCGAGACCTGCCGTTTGGTCCAAACACTAAGGCGGGGGAGGGCTTCGCGCTCTCCCTCGCCCCCACAGGAGGGGTGTCGAGCCTCCCTGTGCCGGGGGGGCGCTGACTCTCTAGAACCAAGTCAGCAGGTAGAACCCAAAGAGGGAGCGGGAGGGCCACCGAGACCCCCTGGGCTTCGTGAGGGGCTGAGGGCTGCCCGATTGGGCCAGGACTGGACAAGGGACGGTTATGGATGCTTCCCCTCCAGGCGGTCAGTGATCTCCAAACACACTCGGGCCTCCCACCTAGATTCATGAAGGCCACAGACGCTGGAGCTCTGGGTGCCGGGGACGCCCCAAGGGACAGGTCCCTGCTTCCTGTCACTGACATTCAACGTGGGGAGGGCACTGGCAAAGTACTTCCCCTCCACAGGCCCATGTACCAGGGGCCTGACCAGGCCCCTTCTCCCACGAGCTGCCTCTCTGGAGAAGCCCCAGGCCAGGCCACTGAGTTATAAAGCAGCCCTAAGACCTAAGGTGTCATTTCCACAGGATCCCCCAGGTAAAAAGGGGAGTGCATGCTTTCATTTTAGAAATATCTCCATTTTTAAATTTTTGACATTTTGAAGATTAATATCTCCAGAATGTTTTTCTCTCATCCTGAATATTTTATTCCTTAATGATGATGGATATAGCTGAAATGTGACCATCCTGTTGTAACTCTTATGAGGAAAATTATAAATTGATGTCATAACTTACAGTAAAAAGCAAGTGTGCCCTCCTGATGGGTAAAAACTTCAGACGCCAAACAATCAAAGTGGTGGACAAGTGTCTCTAATGGGCCTGCTAAACTGGAAATCAGGCACATGGGGTCTGTTTGCTAAGACCCATCTCTGGCTCACTTAAATACTTTAAGATGAAAACTATTTTCTCTAAACTTACGTTATCATCCGGCAAGAGTTAACCCAGTCACTGATTTGAGTACAAAAGCATTTACCTTACATCTGATTGATTTCTTGTTTGAGTGATACTGATTCTTGAAATGTAAGATAACATGAACTTTCTTGATATCAAATCCACAAATATCGGGTCCTACAAAAAAAATATTAGCTGCTCTCAATTTCCTTCTATAATGCATCATCACAGGACACCCCCAATCATTCTCCTGAAATAATACACGAGGCACAAGAAGCTTATGTGTCTGGGAATAATCAGATATTCATGTGGAGATATTTAAATGGACGGTGACGCCCTTCTCAGCTCAGGCCTTCTCTGGTCACTGCAGCCACTTGGGACTCAAGTGTAAACCAGCACGCGAGTAAGAGAAGGAAAGTCTCACAACAGTCTGGTAAGTGTCCCTGACGTGCTGCCCGAGTCTTGGGCCCTCGCTCTGAAGCTGGGACCAGTGCACCTGTGCCCAGGCGAGGGCTTCGGAGCTAGTCTGACTGGCTCTGATCTCAGCTCTCACTCACTGTGTTGAGACATATTTGCAACTACGAAGCCTCCCCATGCCTCAGTGTCCTGGCTATAAAACGGGGATGTTAATTTTGACTTCACAAAGCTATTTTGCCAATTAAATGGGCTAATGTATGTAAAGTGTTTAGTATGGGAAAGCTCAATACTTGTTGCTGTTAGGGGCCGGCCCAGTGGGACAAACAGTTAGGTGCACGTGCTCTGCTGCGGCGGCCCAGGGTTCACCGGGTCGGATCCCGGGCCCGCACCAACACGCTGCTTGGTAAGCCATGCTGTGGTGGCATCCCATATAAAGTGGAGGAAGATGGGCACAGATGTTAGCCCAGGGCCAGTCGTCCTCAGCAAAAAAAAAAAAAAAAAAAAAGAGGATTGGCAGATGTTAGCTCAGGGCTGATCTCCTGACACACACACAAAAAATACTTGCTGCTATTACTCTTATGCCCCAATAATACACACACACACATATATTCTTAATGATAACACCAAATCGTAAGCAAAAGAGAGATTACAATCAGTACGTAGGTTCCAATGAACTTTAAAATCTAGAAACAGTTCCATTCAATAGTTAACAATTTATTAATTGGCACAAAGTTAAGTTTTAGTCACTAAGGAAATGAAATGCTGTAGGACACTATGCCTCGATCGGAGACTGAGGAGCTTTGAATATACTAAACAAGGTTTGCAGGAGGGATCTGGAAAACTTGTCAAACATTCTGAGGATGTTTGGAATTACTCTGCTGCGGCATTGACCTTAAGCCTTAGGAATGTACCAAAGCATCTGGGTGTCTCTCGGTCTCACTTCCACTGACCCGGGCCTGTACCCTCTCCTGGGGATTCTGTGAGGCAAATCCTGTGTAAACACAAGCAGATGACTGTGATTTCTTCTAGAACGTGCAGTGAGGAACCTCCAGAATAAATAAGAGAGATTCAGGCTGCATGTAATGACTTAAATAATAGTACCAATTTGCGAGAGTAGACGTGACATTGAACTTGGAAGTAGCATCCTGAGGGACGGACAAAGAATACCATTGTCTATCTCCCGGCTGAGTTCTCAGAGGATGCGTGTTTATATAATTCCCTTTTTTTGTTATTGATGGAAAACACTCCAGTTCAATTTTTAAAACAAAAGCTATGTGAACTATTTGTATGAAAATCTACCACGGGCCGGCCCCGTGGTTTAGTGGTTAAGTGCGTGCTCCGCTACTGGCGGCCCGGGTTCGGATCCCGGGCGCGCACCAACGCACCGCTTCTCTGGCCATGCTGAGGCTGCGTCCCACATACAGCAACTAGAAGGATGTGCAACTATGACATACAACTATCTACTGGGGCTTTGGGGGAAAAAAAAATTAAAATAAAAAAGAAAATCTACTACATCGGGATTGAAAAATGACCTTTGAAATTGGTCAGAATTTCCCTCTCTACTTCTAAACACCTACATGCCTTTAATATTAAATTAAGCTTCAGAACACACCCAGACCTGACTGGAAAATCTGAGCATTTTCCACTAACAGCGATCATAAAATATTTACACATGTAATAGATTTTTGTGAGGAAATAGGGTAGACAGATGGGCTCTGAAGTTAGGCTGACCTGACTCTGAGCAAGTAGTTTAATCTTTCTGAGGCTCAGTTTCCTTATTTGCAAAATAGGGACTGTGTTACCTATTTCTTAGGGTTTCATACATAATCTAAGATGATATATGTAAAGCCCCTAGCCAGGGCCCAATAAAACAGACTTCTCTCTTCCCCTTCAACACCACAAGCCTCAGCAACCTGCTCTCATACCGAAGGCTAGAGCTGAGCTACCACAGGGAAGTACTCTAAAAATGACACAGCAAGTTTGAGTAAAATGTAAATGATTTTGAGTTATAGCAAAAATAACACAGAAAATTTATTTTAATCAGATTTTTTTTTTTACTCGAGAGTATGCTGCTTCACAATTCACATATAGCAGACACACTATATATATTTAAAAGTAGTATTTTGGTGGATACTTGTGGTTATTTTGTTTACCAACACTAACTAAATCAAATATTTGTGAAATTATCTCTAGTTCAACAGGTAATATTTTTTGCCAAATATCTCTGCCTTTCTGTTTTTTTTTTTTTTTGGTGAGGAAGATCAGCCCTGAGCTAACATCCATGCTAATCCTCCTCTTTTTGCTGAGGAAGACTGGCTCTGAGCTAACATCTATTGCCAATCCTCCTCCTTTTTTTTTTCCCCCAAAGCCCCAGTAGATAGTTGTATGTCATAGTTGCACATCCTTCTAGTTGCTGTGTGTGGGACGCGGTCTCAGCATGGCTGGAGAAGCGGTGCATCGGTTCGCGCCCAGGATCCAAACCCGGGCCGCCAGCAGCGGAGCGTGCGCAGTTAACCGCTAAGCCACAGGGCCAGCCCTACCTTTCTGTTTTAAGAGGATAATAACAATAATCAAAAACCAGGACATTTTAATTTCTTTTTTAATCACAATAAAAAGACTTTTCCCATCCCAGATTTTAAATTCAAGGGAAACTATGAGGCACGGCAGAGTAGAAGCACTCTGGGCAGAGGTGGGGACTGTGCATCTAAGGCTGTGGTCTTGGAGAAGTCGCCTTGCTCTCCAAATCGACAGAGCAGGATTGTACCTAAATCTAATAAATAATGTAACGTCTACTTTTTCTACTTCTACAACAACACTGTGACCAGTGGTATCTATATATATAAGAACAGCATAACCAGGTATCTGAAGCCTGATGTTGATCATGACAAATTCAGAGATAAGCATGGAAAAAATATGAGAGGGAAAAATTCTGCAAGACATCCAGTCCGATGAGAGAAAAGAGTTTTAAAGAATGATTCCCCAGGGCCGGCCCCGTGGCTTAGTGGTTAAGTGCGCGCGCTCTGCTGCCGGCGGCCCGGGGTTCGGATCCCGGGTGCGCACCGACGCACTGCTCCTCCGGCCATGCTGAGGCCGCGTCCCACATACA